CATAACTGTTTAAATTGCACCCCAAAATGGTTGGGCCCCCTTACCTTTTATATCCTACCTCTCCCCCCTCCCACCCTTTTCCAATATTTCCATCCTTACCCATCCTTCTTCCTTACCCATCTTACCAAAGCTCTGGTCATCAGATCCAGATCCAGTGGAAGGTGGTGATGCAGGGAATGTGAGGCCAGGCATATTATTTAGTTTGAAAAGTTCATTGATGGTGGTGTTGAAGGAACCAGGCTCAGCTGCATTCTGTACATGAGCATACATAATGCAATAAAGAATCTTGGTGGAGTCGGCAGTAGGTGCTGGCAGGGAAGTGGTGGGAGCAGCTTGCGTGGCATGTAGTATCTTGGTAGTGTCTGCTTGAAGCTTGGCGATAGCAGAATATGTGGTTACTTGTGGGTTGGGTTTCTTTTGTTGTTGTTGTTGTTGTTTCTTGAGTATGTCTCTTCTGGTAGGGCACCTGGCAGCAAGAGTATGGTGGTCATTCTTGCAGTTCAAGCATTTAGGTGGTGAAGCAGTAGTGCAATTCTTGAAGTCATGACCCTCACGGCCACAGGTGGAGGAGAACTTCTTGTCCTTGGTAGGACAATCATTTGTGGTGTATAAGTATGAGTAACAATTATAGCACTGTGAGATATGTTGGAATTTCTCTGCTTCGATGAAGGCTGGGTTGATGTGGAAGTAGTGAACAGCCAGGCCCTCAGCGAGAGCTCTGGCTGCCATGTTGACGTCACTGAAGGTGACCTTCAGTATGGATGAAGCATTTAGATTTATTGTACCAGAATAGATTTATTCTGGTACAAGTACACACAAATAGTTACATAAATTGTCATACATTGCAGCATGTGTAGATTACTTAGGATAACCTAAAAAAGCCAGTGACTGCTTTCCATGGGGGTTCTTCCCCTCCCCCTTCTTTACTGTCTTTTATTTCACATACATAATTTACACAACTTACCTTTGGTTATGTCTACATCAGCTGGCACTGCAAACTCAAAAAGGTGTGGTAGTACAGCCAAAGTTGTGTGGTAGTAACATTCAAGAGTATTGATTTTGTTGAATGTGCCATTGATGTGTGACCCTTCTTAAATGAAAGAATGATAAACGGATTGACTGATGCCAGTCTCGCTCTCAGGTGCATGAAATTCAAGTGTCTAAAATGTTAATACCTGAGCGAGAACACGGGAGGCAGACACTGGGCCGGGGTGTCAACGGGACTGGCCACAAGCAGTGACCTAGCGGTTTCAAGACCCTCCAATATGCTATACCGTTACCGTAGCTTTCCCACTTGTCGAGGGAGGTGCCGTAGTGTTCCCACCTCTCGAAGGGGTGAAGGGCTCTTGATCTGTGGACGTGAATTTATCCTCCCCTTCCTTGAATTAATCCTGAATGCCTTTCGTTCTTCAGGTGCTCTGTGACCCCTACGGGTTTCGCGCTTCCGCTGATTATAATAATATCGTTCCTAGGTGAACTTATTATTCTCATTTGCATCATGGACGGGTGCCTTGATGATAGTGAAGGATTCTTGTTACAAGGCATTGGAATTATTCTCCCTTTCATTAGATCAAACATGACCCGTTCAGTGGATTTTTTTTTCTCATTATTGGACGGAGGCCAACCGCTAGCTTACCGGTCCTTCCCGTAAGAAGTTTACATACGCACAAGGCAACCCAATACAGCAGGCCAACCTTTCTCGACCCCGCTACCGCCCATACCACTGACAGCAACCACAAAGTGACGCAGCAAGTTGACTTCCACCCCTTGATGCAAATGAATGCCTCCTGATTCAAGGAACTGGAGCTACGCTCCCCTTCCGATCAAACCTGATTGCCTCCTAGCCTCATATTCCGTAGACACTGTGATCCTTGCGAGTTTAGTGCATACCAGTGCATATAATAACCCACTCATTCTGAGGAAAATATTCACATCTTCCTCTGCAACAGTTCACATAATTTGTGACTATGTTGAGAAAATTGTAAAAAAGAAAATCTGTTTTAAGTTATGCTATAACCTGCAAATTAGAACACAAAAAAGATGATTACTGGTGGTGGCACATTTTTATAAAGGGAGTTGACAAATTCGAATGTTTTTTCCCTTTATTATTGCTTCAATCATTTTCATCTTTCCTTCTTGGAAAGGCCAAAAAGCCAGCGCTTGCTGAGGCAAATTGGACAACAGGTAGAGGCGCTGGCATACCTCCTTCACCTTGGGGTACCATTGTAGTGGCAGACAAGCACCTCTTCTCCAGTCGTCCAACACTTCTAGTCTTGATAAATTAGACACATGTACAACACTGATTACATCCACTCAAGGCTGATGGACTGATTACCTCAAACTACTCCTGTTCTTCACTATTCTCCCCTGTATGGACTGATGAAACCACGGCGTGGCGAAACGTTTCCTCAATAAAGACACCGAAGTCTTGCACGTGTCTAATTTTTATCAACTTGTCGGTTCTTTGAACCATTTATCTATACACTTCTAGTATTTTACATACCCCTTCTTCAGCTGAGGTGAACTCGTGTGGTTGCTACTCGGCAACTTACTTCAGCCTGCTTCTGGAAATGAGTATTGCTCTTTAGCTTCAACAAAGCAATGCTTTCCCAAGATCAAACAGCGTGATAGTGTCACAGCCGTAGACTATACACAAATTAAAACAAATTGACATCTGACCCAGGCATTCTGCAGTCAATGAATGTTACACATTATTTGAGTCCTGTTGGATATTATTTTTTGTTTGGCCTAAGGGATAGATCGAGGGAACTAAAATCAGCCGTTGGGGGGTCACACAGCTCTGGGAAAATGGGGAAGCGATTAGATTCGATGGAAGGAAAAGTATTTCCAGTTCTTTCCATCAAGAGCCCATTGTCGGCATCAAGGCACCTCCTTTGAAGGGAGATTCTTATGAACTGATGTTTGTGGCTTCCTTTGTGCCTGCTCACATGTGGAGACCTGTTTCTATAATTTTTATGCTCAATATTTAGGCGTTTAAACCCTTATAGGTCATATATCTTCTGTGAAATATAAGGAAATACATTTTTTCGCTAATATCCCCCTCCCCTCAAAAAAAAAAAAAAATGCCGAATATGTAACTTCGACAAATAGAAATCTTGTATTATATAATTATACAATGAATGATTTCCACTGAAGAGCATCCTTCACCTCTAACAATTATTTAGCTTATTTCCATTTTATAAACTTCTAAGAACTTAAGCTACTGGTTTTCATTCCACTTTGTTTTAATGGTGTTTTAGTAGCATAATTATAGGTTTTCAACTTCTGATCTACTCATTAATTTTATAGTCACTAATAGCAGAGGATTCTATGACCGGTCTCTGCATTCTTGGAAAGCTGCATATATTTCCACACCTGTTATTCCTGTTCACTTACTAGTAAGCAGGTTATGTGAGTGTTGGGTAATTATTGTGGGCTGCATCCTGGGAGAGGACTTATATAAGACGTGGTGTGGGTTGTGTAATTTTATTGCGGGACATTTAGTCTACCAGGGACTTCATTAATTCACGTGAGCTGGTAGACTCTTTTGGAGTCTTTTTCTTGCCTCTTTTTACTTTTGTCCTGAATGCCATGACTTAGACCATAGATATTGAGCAAATTGATACCTCTATTTGCTAAATATGTGTAGTGTTACTTTAGTTGGACAGTAGTATACGAAATTTCATGATAGTGACCACTTCTCCAGTATTGTTTGCATCCGTAAAACTATTCTAAGACCTGTTTTCCATTGTGCAAATCCAACTTGATACACATTTCGACGTACAGGGCAATGAGCAGGCAGACACTGCTGCGCGGTCAGCAGTACATGACCTACCAATTTCCTATCGAGGTGTTCCATTTCTGGACTATTTTGCTGCAATAGCTACCCACCTTCGCACCCGTTGGCAACAACGTTGGTCAACTCTGCTCGGTAACAAACTTCATTCTATTAAACCGAGCATAGGTTACTGGCCGTCTTCTTGTCATCAGTGCCGAGGTTGGGAGACCACTCTCTCCCGCCTTCGCATTGGCCACACTCGTCTTACTCATGGAGAGGCACCCTGTTCCTCTCTGTGAGCAGTGTCAAGTTCCAGTATCGATTAGCCACATTCTGTTAGACTGCCCTCTCTATCAACGAGCACGCAGAATTTACCTCCAACGTAGTCTTCGTTCTACTACTCTCTCTTTACCTTCCCTTCTTGCTGATGGACCCTCCTTTAATCCTGACTCTCTCATTGACTTCTTGACAACGACTGATTTACTCCACAAACTCTGATACTTTTCGCACTCCCCTCAGCCCTTTCTAGTTCAGTCTCTTGCTGCCCTTTACTCTTTCACCATCCACTGCCCCGCTGTTGTCCGTAACCTATTACTCATCCATCTCCCTTTTGCCACCTGATGCCCTCGCTTTCTTCCTGCCCTGCAGCGCTGTATAGTCCTTGTGGCTTGGCGCTTCTTTTTGATTATAATAATTATAATCATCACTGTCTCCTTCATTAAAAATTTATCACATTGCTGCATCTCTTCTCTCAGCTACAGAAATCACTATCCCCACAAACTTTCGGTAAACATTTTAATAAACTTATACTCTGTGCTAGGGTCATCTAACTCAGAATGTGCCACTTGAGGCCTGTGTGAATGTAGTCGAACCACTGTCCGCTTGTGTGAGTTCACTAAATAGGACTGGAGGCAAGTGAAGGGTTTGATGACTTTGACATGCTGTTGGAGCATGAGCAAGGTAACATGAAGTGATTCAGAGAATCAGGTTAACTGTATTTGTCCTGGAGGTGGGAAGTGCAGTGCCTACATTGTGGAAGAGGGGTGGGGATGTGGCAGTTCAGAAGGCTATTTGAACTGTGATATCAGAATGCTTTTGGCAAGACAAGGACTGAGTGAATGACAGTAAATGTATTTTCTCTTTCCAATTACCTACCTTGATAGGAGACAGCCAGTGTGTTTAAAAAAATCAATCACCCATTAATTATAATGTTCATTTTCAGGTGGAAGCAAGAGAACATAATGGAGAGTATTGCTGTTGCTGCACCTGCCATGACCCTATCTGCAGAGGCACCACTTATAAGTATGCTCCCAGAAATTGAGGACACAGCAAGTCAAAATATTCTCAGTAGAAAGCGTAGGACAAATTTCGCTGACATTTCAGATCTTAATTCCGATGGAAACTTCCAGAAAGAGATGGTTTTTGCCTTTGCTGCTGCTATGTTATCCACCATCCCAATTCTCCTCGGAAATGAGAATGACATTAATGCTGGAGTCAGGAAAAAGCGACAAATAGGACCTTACCAGGAGCTCCATGATCCAGACTTCAGATCATACATTTCTTACACCCAATCTCCAGAAGAGTTCAGTACCATGCCATTTTTCTCAGGATATACCTACAAGAGGATCATGACCTCTTCCCCAGGCACAGACTTCTTCCACATTCACAACAGCTCAACGACGACACCTGATACTGACGAAGATGCTACAGCACCCCTAAGAGAAGAGACTGGAGTGGTGAATGATGCTCTAGGTGAGCTCCTGAAGGATCTTTTGAAATGGTCCCAGGAGAAGGTGAAGAACAAGCCACTGTTACCCTTGCTGATTGATCTTGCACTAGACAAGTATTCAGGAAATCCAAACCCTGCTGATAAACTTGTTAGAACTGCATACAAGAAATGGAAGAACTACTGGTACTGATTGAATAGTACTCTAGCATGTGTTAGAACTTAGTGACCTTTCTCTCTCCATATGCAAACAAATTATAATCACATCATAAATTGATAAACTGGGAAGCAAACTACAAGCATTCAAGGGAAACCATTTTATCAACAATTTTAACCTTGATTATGCTTAACCTGATTTTAAAGACAGTTCTTAAAATGTGTAACTGTTGTGCAAGCTTCCATGACTGAAAATCTCTACTTAAGAACCTAAGCGCCTAATCAACAAAACTGGGATCTAAGTGTCGAGTGCATTCATTTTTTTTCCATGGATTGAGGGGGTTAATGTTAATCACTGCTGTCATTGTCTTCATTATAATTCATCTTCATTATTTCGTTATGTATTTCATTCTCAGTAGGAACCAAATGGGGAACACCTTCCTGAACTTCTCAGGTAAAGTTTGGGGCATTCAATAAATGTAAACATGCATTTTTTTTATTTACCCAATGGGCATTATTTCGATTAACAAACTAGATTAAGTATATGGTGTGGCTACTCTGAATGAATTTTAATGGAAATTAATTTTCATGATCACAAAAAAAATACACGTTGTCTGGTCCGAACCCTTGACTGGTCCGAACCCTGGACTGGTTTCAAACGGTTTCGTTGTGCACCACCTAGCAGGTTATTAATAGAATATTCAAGAGGTTGCTAGTAGAATTGCAGTAAATAAACCATTCAAATCACTATGAAGCTGTGTGTAGTCTGTGGTCAGTCAAACAAACGGGCTTCCACATGCATAAATTGTCATTTCTGTGGTAATTGGTGTCACGCCCCTTGTGCAGATATCCAAGAACTAGCTACAAGCAGTATTAAAACAGGGAAGTGTTTTTGGGTATGCCCAAATGAGATAAATCTGTGGACTAAAAATCACAAGGGTATTAAAAGAGGTCAACATCAAAGCTGCTTTCATAGAAAAACCTGGAAGCTTTCTACAACAGATGGGAACATAAAAAGTCCGGGCTGAATGGTACTGCCCTTGATACTGGCCATGTAGTCAGAAACTGTAAGGCTGGAGATGATGTCCTGGTAGTCAGTAAATGGGGGGCTGATAGTGCTGTCCTGGGAGACAGTAATGGGGAAGCTGGAGGTGCTGTCCTGGGAGACAGTAATGGTGAAGCTGGAGGTGCTGTCCTGGGAGACAGTAATGGTGAAGCTGGAGATTTTGTCCAGGTAGTCGGGAATTATACGCAGGAAGGAATACATATGAATGACCGCATAGGGGACAGGAGCCATAGTAGGGAAACAAGTGTAGTCAAAGATAAGATAAAACCAATATTGCAAACTAGAAATACCGCAGGAAATAGCAAACAAGAGGACTCCACTAGCAATAGTGAGGATATATTACCAAAAACAAATGGTGGGAGCTCCATTGTTGGTGCTAGGGAGGATAGAAGTAAGACAGGGAAACATGCACCAACAGGGAATACAGTCACAGAAACCCAAGGCAAACGGAAACCAAGCCTGTGCACATACTATGCACTCGGTATCTGCTGGCATGGGAAATCTGGAAAAACAGATGGGACGTGCAACTATGACCACCCTAGGAAATGCCATGCCCATATGAAAACAGGAAAATGCAAACTCCCTTCCTGTAAGCTTTTTCACCCTAAACTGTGTACCTCTTCAGTACAGGAAAGACTGTGCTATAACTTAAATTGCCAGGCATACCATCTAAAGGGGACAAAAAGATACAAAACATCCAGGCCATGGGAAAACCTGGGTAGCCACAGCCACTCAAGAGGGAGAGGTTTTTTAGTGCCAGGAAGGAAAAAAACTGGCAGGAAATGGCAGAAATCGTACACCAAATCCAGTCATTCCTGGAGTGGAACCACAGTCGATGGCCTCCACTCCAAACCAACAGATACAGATACTAATGCCGGAAAAAAAATCCCCCCCAGTACCAACAATACCACCAGTCCGATAACATTCTTCTTTGCAAATATACAGGGTCTAAAGCCAGCAACAAACAACAAAATACCTTTCATCCGTGGACTGCTTGCAGAGGCAAAGGCAATGTTCGCGGCTTTCACTGAGACCCACATAAAGGATCACTTTGACAACGAAATATGGATCCCAGGTTACAACCTATACAGATGTGACAGAGTGAACAGGCAAAAGGGGGGGGTTGGCCTGTACATTGCAGAGTCACTTGTTTGCACAGAACTGCTAAATGCCTCAAATGATGTAGTGGAAGTTTTAGCAGAAAAGGTCGAGAACCAAAACCTAGTCATTGTGATAGTCTACAAGCCTCCGGATGCAACATCCCAGCAATTCCAGGAACAGCTGTTAAAAATTGACCACTGTCTGGAAAACCTTCCAGCTCCTGCACCCAACATCTTGCTCCTGGGGGATTTCAACTTAAGGCACCTAAAATGGAGGAATATAGCAAATAATATTGTTGCAGTAATAACACCAGGAGGCAGCTCTGATGAAAACTCACACTCACGCGAGCTTTTAAATCTCTGCACAAAATTCAATTTAAACCAGCAAATAATAGAGCCTACTAGACTGGAGAATACACTAGACCTCATCTTCACTAACAATGATGATCTGATAAGAAATATCACCATATCAAAAACAATATACTCAGATCACAACATAATTGAGGTTCAGTCATGTATGCGCGGAGCCCCAGACCGACATAATGAGATTAGTCACGAGGGAGCATTCACCAAATTCAACTTCAATAACAAAAACATAAAGTGGGACCAAGTAAACCAAGTCCTAACCGATATAAGCTGGGAAGATATACTAAGCAACACAGACCCCAACTTATGCCTAGAACAGATTAACTCGGTAGCACTCGATGTATGCACAAGGCTTATTCCTCTAAGAAAAAGGAGGAGTAGATGTAAAACAGAAAGAGACAGGCGCTCCCTTTACAGGCGACGGAAAAGAATAACAGAGCGGCTAAAAGAGGTCAATATATCTGAAATGCGTAGGGAGACACTGGTCAGAGAAATAGCAAGCATCGAACTTAAGCTAAAAGAATCCTTTAGGAGTCAGGAATCGCGGGAAGAAAATAAAAGCCATAAATGAAATCGAAAGAAACCCAAAGTATTTCTTCTCCTATGCCAAATCAAAATCGAGAACAACGTCCAGTATTGGGCCCCTACTTAAACAAGATGGGTCCTACACAGATGACAACAAGGAAATGAGTGAGCTACTCAAGTCCCAATATGACTCAGTTTTTAGCAAGCCGCTAACCAGACTGAGAGTCGAAGATCAAAATGAATTTTTTATGAGAGAGCCACAAAATTTGATTAACACAAGCCTATCCGATGTTATCCTGACGCCCCAAATGACTTCGAAAAGGCGATAAATGACATGCCCATGCACTCTGCCCCAGGGCCAGACTCATGGAACTCTGTGTTCATCAAGAACTGCAAGAAGCCCCTATCACGAGCCTTTTCCATCCTATGGAGAGGGAGCATGGACACGGGGGTCGTCCCACAGTTACTAAAAACAACAGACATAGCCCCACTCCACAAAGGGGGCAGTAAAGCAACAGCAAAGAACTACAGACCAATAGCACTAACATCCCATATCATAAAAATCTTTGAAAGGGTCCTAAGAAGCAAGATCACCACGCATCTAGAAACCCATCAGTTACACAACCCAGGGCAACATGGGTTTAGAACAGGTCGCTCCTGTCTGTCTCAACTATTGGATCACTACGACAAGGTCCTAAATGCACTAGAAGACAAAAAGAATGCAGATGTAATATATACAGACTTTGCAAAAGCCTTCGACAAGTGTGACCATGGCGTAATAGCGCACAAAATGCGTGCTAAAGGAATAACAGGAAAAGTCGGTCGATGGATCTATAATTTCCTCACTAACAGAACACAGAGAGTAGTCGTCAACAGAGTAAAGTCCGAGGCAGCTACGGTGAAAAGCTCTGTTCCACAAGGCACAGTACTCGCTCCCATCTTGTTCCTCATCCTTATATCCGACATAGACAAGGATGTCAGCCACAGCACCGTGTCTTCCTTTGCAGATGACACCCGAATCTGCATGACAGTGTCTTCCATTGCAGACACTGCAAAGCTCCAGGCAGACATCAACCAAATCTTTCAGTGGGCTGCAGAAAACAATATGAAGTTCAACGATGAGAAATTTCAATTACTCAGATATGGTAAACATGAGGAAATTAAATCTCATCAGAGTACAAAACAAATTCTGGCCACAAAATAGAGCGAAACACCAACGTCAAAGACCTGGGAGTGATCATGTCGGAGGATCTCACTTCAAGGACCATAACATTGTATCAATCGCATCTGCTAGAAAAATGACAGGATGGATAATGAGAACCTTCAAAACTAGGGAGGCCAAGCCCATGATGACACTCTTCAGGTCACTTGTTCTATCTAGGCTGGAATATTGCTGCACACTAACAGCACCTTTCAAGGCAGGTGAAATTGCCGACCTAGAAAATGTACAGAGAACTTTCACGGCGCGCATAACGGAGATAAAACACCTCAATTATTGGGAGCGCTTGAGGTTCCTAAACCTGTATTCCCTGGAACGCAGGAGGGAGAGATACATGATTATATACACCTGGAAAATCCTAGAGGGACTAGTACCGAACTTGCACACGAAAATCACCCACTACGAAAGCAAAAGACTTGGCAGACGATGCACCATCCCCCCAATGAAAAGCAGGGGTGTCACTAGCACGTTAAGAGACCATACAATAAGTGTCAGGGGCCCGAGACTGTTCAACTGCCTCCCAGCACACATAAGGGGGATTACCAACAGACCCCTGGCAGTCTTCAAGCTGGCACTGGACAAGCACCTAAAGTCAGTTCCGGATCAGCCGGGCTGTGGCTCGTATGTTGGTTTGCGTGCAGCAGCAGCAACAGCCTGGTTGATCAGGCTCTGATCCACCAGGAGGCCTGGTCTCAGACCGGGCCGCGGGGGCGTTGACCCCCGGAACTCTCTCCAGGTAAACTCCAGGTATACGTATATGCTTCAAATTATTATTATAATCAAGGGGGAAGCGCTAAACCCGGAGGATTATACAGCGCCTGGGGGGGGGGATATGTGGAAGGCATTCAGGCTTAATTCGGGGAACTGGAGCACAGATCCAATTCCCTAAATCAAGAGCCCCTCACCAACATCAAGGAACCTTCCTTGAGGGGTATATGCTTCAAAACTGTTGTGTTCCGAGTGATTATGTGTGAGTGAGGTGAAAGTGTTGAATGATGATGAAAGTATTTTCTTTTTGGGGATTTTCTTTCTTTTTGGGTCACCCTGCCTCGGTGGGAGACGGCTGACTTGTTAAAAAAAAAATACATTAAACTTGTAAGGGTCAGTCTATACAGCAATAGCAGTTTGCTTAACACCCATCACATTGGATTGCATTTCAAACGGTGATTTTGCTGCACTATTAGTTCAACTTTAATCCATCCAGTTTATTTGAATTTTTTTCTTACGGGCAGTGCCACACAGGATGGGAAAGATTAAACTTAATTTTAACAGATTTATTCAGCACTGTATGGCCCTTGTGGTTTAGCGCTTCTTTTTGACGATAATAATAATAATAATAATAATAATAACAGTGTTGAATGATGATGAAAGTATTTTCTTTTTGGGGATTTTCTTTCTTTTTTTGGGTCACCCTGCCTCGGTGGGAGACGGCCGACTTGTTGAAAAAAAAAAAAAAATATTTATTTGCATTAAATTTGGGGACTCCTTGATGCTAGTGAGGGCCTCTTGGTCCGAGGAATTGCATCTATCATCATTAGTCAAAACCAAGCACTAAACCCACAAGGGTCATACAACACTGCAGGATAGTTAGTTAGTTTAATATGTTTATTATGCACCCCATACCCATCCTGTGGGCGGTAGTCAAAAGATTACAGAGGTACATAATTGGTCCAGGGACTGGACTCCAAAGTTTTGATAGCTGAGCAAGTTACAGAGGTAATGAACTCACAATTTACAAAGGTAATGAACTCACAATTTACAAAGGTAATGAACTCACAATTTACAAAGGTAATGAACTCACAATTTACAAAGGTAATGAACTCCAGGTAAGTCTGGTCACAATCATGACAAGTTACAAAGGTATTTACAGATTACAGAGGTACGTAATGGGTCCAGGGACTGGGCCCCCAAAGTTTTGATAGCTGAACTAGGTACAAAGGTAATGAGCTCACAAGTTACAAAGGTAATGAATTCTGTAGCATTTAATGGTTACTTACGTTTATACTTTGGCTACAATCATGAACAAATTATAGAGTAATGAGCAATTCACACTTCCACACCCGGTCACAACTGTAATGAGTTATTGGTGCAAATATTGATTGTTGAGTCACACACACACACACACACACACACACACACACACACACACACACACACACACACACACACACTTTAGTTTAATATCTTTATGCACCCCATACCCATCCTGTGGGCGGTATCAAAAGATATACAAAGGTACATAATGGGTCCAGTGACGGGACCCCAAAGTTATGATAGCTGAACTAGTTACAAAGGTAATGAACTCCAGGTAGATCTGGTCACTAATCATGGCAAGTTACAGAGGTAATGAATCAGCTTCACTCCTATACATGGTTACAGTCATAAAAAAAATTTTAAAAAGTAATGAACCACTGATACGTCCACACCTGGTCACAATTGTAATGAGTTATAAATACAAAAAATTAAGTGGATCATACACCCACACTAGCGCGCGCGCGCACAAACACACACGAGGGGCCACGCACGGACATGTGCACACGAGCGTACAAATATATGCATACACACACAAGGACGCACACCCACACACACACACACCAACCCCACACACACCACACCCTCACACAACCCACACACACACCCTCACACACACCCACACACACACATACACACACCCCCACACCCCACACACCACACACACACCCACAAAACGCACACACACACACACACCACCACACACACACAAAACACACACACACACACACACGCACGCACACACACACACACACACACACACCCTCACACCGCACACACACCCTCACACACCCCCACACACACGCACGCACACACACACACACACACACACACACACAAAACACACACACACACACACCAAACACACACACCACACAACACACACACACACACACCCTCACACACCCCACACACACACCCACACACACACACACACACACCCACACATGCACACATGTGGTAATGCTTTATTTACAGCTAGCAAAGTCAGGGTATTTCTCCAGAATTGGTCTGCAAATATACCACTGTGGAAAAAAATACTTAGCCATTTCTGAACACTTCTGAGTGATTGTTTCTAAATTCATTAATTTTATCACACCCAGTACATAATGACGCAATGTGTGACAATAGTCCATCTGGCAAAGTTTACATTTCGTTTGGTCTACATCTGGTGGTGGTGATTTAAAAACCCGCCAAAGATACTTGTAAAACCCCGCCGGAGGCCCGGCAGTAGTGACATCCAAGAGTCTGGCTTATCTTGTTGGATGCACCATAGACATGTGGCTCCTCCTGCATGATGGAATGATGATAGATGGACTGACTTGTGTCAATCTCCCTAAGTCTTAAGTCAATAAAGTTCATTTGAAGTTCTTTTCGTATTATTGTTCTCAAACTGCTCAATGACAACCCAAGATTGTAATCTACCCCCTCTTTGAAAGCATACAGCTTAGCCAATTTATCAGTTCTATCATGCATCTGAAGACCAATGTGAGATGGAATCCACAGCATGTGCACTCTGACTCCACTGTCCACAATCTTACCATACCTGTGTCTGTCTGATAAGATGTGCTAAGATATAATATGCTAGATCAGAGACCAGTGAGGGTGAAGAGTATGCCAGAAGTAGAGTTAATCAGGGGAGGAGGGGTGGCAAAGGGAAAGTATAATCAAACTTGGTGTAATAAAGCCATTAATGGGAATTGCATCTAGCCTCCCTTTCCTTGGACTGAACCTAATTGCCTCCCATTCCTCCAGGTGCTGTATAATCCCTACTAGTTCAGCACTATATATGCAATATTTATGGAGAAGAGCTAAAGCTGTAAGGCTCATATAGCATATGGAAAATGACAGGCACTCATGTTCCACCCAAGTAAGGAGAGGGGGAGAAGTGTTTTTTTTTTTTTCTGATCAAGGAATCTTCCTTGAGGGGAACAGTTTTAAACTATTTTGGAGGAGAACTTGGTTCTGTCAGAGCCAGGAATTACATGAAAGATCTTCAATAGAAGACTGTTACTTAGGAATTAAAAATGCATTGAAATTTATCAGATTTTAATAGTTATAACATGTTACATGTTTACAACTGTTTCAATAATGTGCTAATACCAACAGGTCTAAAATTTGAACAAGTATATGCAACATTATTTACAAATTAATACATATCTTTTGATATATTTTTTATATAAAACTTACCATATGTTCTTTTGCTAATTAAATGTGGTGAAACACGTTTGTTTATGAAGTACAATACAGTAGTTTGAAATATAATTATACACTTAGAACTGTGCATTTCTTCAAAAATATATCCAACACCACGTTTCATTTAATCGTCAGAGACTCGTTAGATTTTTCTTGTGAACACTGGACATATAGGATAGGGAGGAAAGGTCAAATTCTAATACGTTCAAAAGTTTATTTTGCACGGCAAAGTATGAGAAGACTACCCAGTTCACTCTTCCTCCTAAACCAAAACGACACCAGAGAACTTTGACTTAATTATGAATTGAACCAGTTACAGGTTTAAGACTAAGGCATATGATCATTTAGTGATTCAGTGTGGACACCACATATTTCTATACTTACTGATGTGCTTTCAAGGGTGTCATCTTCATATTGGTAAGAGGCTCTTGATCAAAGGAATACAACCTACCCTCTCCATTGAATGAACATTCTTACTTCCCATTCCTCAGGGACTGTATAACCCTGGGATGCAGGCATTCTGACTTTAAACAGAAACTAACCCTATGCACCAACTTTGTAGATTTTACTCTTGCACTCTCCCCTACTCCAACTAATCCCAAACCTTGCACACTCCTGCCCCTCATTCCCTATGCACATCCCTCCCTCCAGCACTGTATGACCTTTTTGGGTTTAGCACTTTATTATTATATAACCCTGGGTTGCATTTAACCATTTAGTGCAATTTTTTTTTTTAAGTATAATGAAGATTAATATTTAACCATAAAGACAATCTTAATAAGTTCTTTAAAAGTTCATTAGATTGAACTTCAGTCACTTCGTTATTTAAATCAAAACTAAGTACTAATTCAGTTACTTCAGCTCTACATATCTTTCACCTTTGTCGACATTGCTGCTGTCTTATCTGTGGAAGCTCCCCTCTACTAAAATTCTTTATGGGACCCAGAAACTATTATCATCAATTTACAAACCTTACAAGCAATCTTTTAACTTTAGCTTCCAAATACAGTACATACATTGGAACTTGTCAGCTACAGTATTTCCATAGTCAATGTTCTCAGGAATGTTTTGTATACCCTATTTTTATATTGTAAATAGTCATGTGATTCATAAGTCACTTTTAACAAATCATCATCATCTTTCAACGTACCAGCTGTATCCCATTGAGGTGGGGTGGCCCAAAAGAAAAAACAAAAAGTTTCGCCTTTTAAATTTAGTAATATATACAGAAGGGGTTACTAGCCTCCTGCTCCTGGCACTTTTCACAAATGTATGTTGTTAATCCTCTCTCAATAACAAGTATACCCACACTATGCTAATCTCTAACCAAATTTGAAGCGACTCTCCCAAATATATTATTATCCCTTAACTATTAAGCCATTATTACAAACTTTAGAGTAAAATATTGAATATCTAATCTTCCACTCTTTACCTGTCTAGACTTGAGTAGTCTTTAAGTACTAGGTGAAGTCTGCCCGAAATGCCTCGGCATAAGTGGCTTTCTTTGTACCAATCAAATTATGAAATGTAAATACACTGTAACCTTTGCAAAGAAATAAACTTTTGATTTGATTTGATTATAGAATGTTAAACTCATCTTTTCCACTCTATAGTCAATGTGGAGCAAACTACTATCTGTCTTTCCCCTAAAAATGCCAAATAAGGCAAGCTGCAATGGCTATGTAAGTCAGAGGGTTACCAGTTGAACAGAGCAGTCATTAGGGAATTCTTGTTGCAAGGGTTTAACCCTTGAAACTGGTAATATGACTTGTCCTTAATTATTATAATAAACAATGAACCTAAAAGGGTCATACAGCATTTGTCCTAAAGTGCATCTATGGAAGAATCTTTTAGACAACAGCTAATAAGCACATCACCACATCTAAAGCATGAAATTCATGTAAATATGCACTCATTTTAATAGCCAAACAATAAACTCAATTGGTGGCTAATTCCTGAATACTGGTGCAAACTTGAATTACAAAGGGGACAAACACAAGATCCAGTATTTGGGCAAACAAGGACTATAGCACTTACTTGGCCCTACTTCAGGAAGTTTCATACGAGCATTACCATGCAGTACCATGGAGAATGTAGGTAAACTCTTAGACCATTTTTCCAAATAAGCGAGCCTCTGGTTTTCTTGTTTATAACTGCAAAATGTATAGTATTTTCTATCAACAGAATGAGTTTGTACCCATGTATTGCACTGCTACTTACACTAATCACAGTTACAAATATCTCGGTTTGTATGCAATAGTGAAAATGAAATCTAAAGGAAGTTGAATTTTTTCACAAAAAGCAGACATAAGGATAGTTAAAATACAATGTGACATATAACATAGTAATGACATATAACATAGTAAGTGGAGTGAAAAAACAATTGAACCAAGCTTGCACTATGTTACCTATTACTCTTAGGATTTACAATCATAAATGTACTCCAATACACACTGCAACAGGTTTATATCACTGGTGCCAAAATGATGTTCCTGTGGATTCAATAGTATTGTTCTATTTGTAATTCTTATTTATTTGTCATGTATATGCTATAAAACCTTAAAGAAAACCAAAAGTATAAAAATTAGTAGTGCACAAGCTTATATATAATATCAAACTACAGGTCCACATTCCTTTATCTGAAATTCTGAAATTCGAAAAGTTCCGAAAACCAAAGTTTTTTTGTGGAGTGTGGGGCGTCAGTCATCTCTACACAACTCCAATGCCGCCAGTTGTCTCAGTGCTTGTAGTGTTCACACGTGTGACTGCTGTTCACTGATATTTTGTTTTTGCTTTTTATTTTGTGACTGTGTTTAATTTCTCTGAATGTCAAAAAAAGCTGCAGATACCCCTATGGGTAACAGTGAGAAAAAGAAAAGGAAGCATCTGATATCAATAACACAGAAAGTAGAGTTGCTGCAGAAGCTTGATTGTGATGTCAGTGTGGCCTCTTACTGAAGAATATGGTGTAGGAACTACCACTGTTTATTTAAAGAAACGGAAAGACAAGTTACCGAAGTATTACAGTGACAGCTATGACCAAAAACTAATGAAAAATAGGAAAACACTGCATGGGGCAAAAAACGAAGATCTTGATTGTGTGCTAATGGAGTTACAGGAAGCTGACATCGAAGAAATACTGAACACTGACAATGATGCACCTGTTGTGCATTCTTTGAGTGATGGTGAAATGGCTGAAATGATGTTAAGTACAAATAATCAATTGCTGGCCTTGAACAACATGCATTTATGAGTGAGCAAGAGATTATGGCTATTTACTTAGTTTGAGAGAGATTGCTTAGACAGAAACCTATATTAATAAGACAGATGACACTTGAAGTTGTCTTTAAAAACACAGTCTGTCAATCGTCTTGAGAATCATGTTCCTGGTCTATAATTATCCCAATATTTCATATCAATATATTACTATAAATAAACTGTAGTAGTATTTGTAGTCTTTATTTACCCCACTTAGTGTGAGTATTCATACGTTTTTGCTGAAATTTGAAAAATTCCGAAATTCGAAACACTACTGGCCCCAAGGGTTTTGGATAAAGGAATGTGGCTCTGTACTTTAACTATCACACCTTTGGACATTCTTGAGTTTCAACAAGTGTCACAGCACAAACATTATCATAAGAATGAGCAGTGAAGAGAAATATATAAACTTTGATGAAACTGAAAACTGAGAGATGTCTGAAAAAGCATAAAGCTGGCAAGGATTAATGAACGCACTGTATGTGAGAAAACACCGGCCATCTTGGTGGGATATGGCAAGTGTATAAAAAAAAAATTACCATTATATAAAAGGAACTGAATATTGCACATCTTAAAATTTATTCCTTATAAGTACTGCTTTGCAGATACTATATTGTACATAAAATAAGCAGACTTTGTAACATACTAATTATAATTACCACATATTACAAATAAGAGCATAATTTTTCTTTCAAGGCTTTTTATTAATTAATTAATTAATGTACTTGTAAATGCTGTATTTGACTTAAGTAAAATACCTTATTTTTATACTATGTACATTATGAACAATGAATGCTATAATCTGCTTAAAGATAACTCAAAAAAAGGATTACCAGAAATTTTATTAGATAAATATTTTTTGGTTAACAATCATTTTAATTAAGGCCAATTTTTAACTTGTTCCAATAAATGGCCAAGAAATAAGTTACAAAAAGTGACTGAATGCAAAATGCTTTTATAAATAACAAAACAAGGCACAATACTGTGACTGGAACGATACACAAATAACCCGACATAGAAGAGAGAAGCTTACAATGACATTTCGGTCCAAGTTGGACCGAAACGTCATCGTAAACTCCTCTTTTCTACGTGCGGGTTATTTGTGTAAATGCTTTTATAAATAAATTATACCAACTATGGATAAAATAACCCCCACCTACTACAATGATCCCTTCCCTTGTACACTCCTAACCTTCAAACATGCCTTCCATTATATATTCCTAACTGAAGCACTGTATGACTTGGTATGGGTCTAGTATGTAATCTGATTACATTATTATTATTATTAAAAATCGAGGAGAAGCATTTGAAACATAGTAAGTAATTCAATAAGTTTTCTGCTGCTCATAACAGTTCAACAAATATGCACATACAAACAAACTAGGCCACATGTCTATCAACAAGAACCTTTGACATATAGTAACTTGCTATAAAATGCATCTACATACAGTAGGTGTCATACATATGCATGAGTATAAACTCATCACAAAGATAATGAGAACACTTGCCATAAACTGCTTTAAAATACTGAAATATGTAAGGGATATTCATCTTGCCAAGTATTTCTCATGATTTACCATGCCACTGGATGAACCCCTTATGTCATAAGATTACATTATGGAGGATAGAAGAGCCAGCACCCTCCCATACCTGCTAAAAGGCACTCAAGAGTTTGGAGATAATGGACATGTCCATGCCATGAAGCTTGGGCTTAATAAAGTTCCACATGTTGCATTGGATTTAAGTCTGCTGAGTTAGCAGGCCATCAATACAGAATGAGATATCACAGTCGTGTAGCCAGTATTGTATGTCTTCGGCAGTATGGCAAGGAGCATTATCATACAAAATTTGCCTTGTTACTTCTTGAAACTGTCAGCAAATAGTCTGCTTAAGGAGTATTTATGAGCATACATATATGACACCTACTATAGGTTTGTAAGTACGTGTTACTAAAGCGAAACTTGCTGATTCTGCTAATTTAGTAAAGATTCACTTTGCTGAATTAGCCGAGTGTGTAGAAATTTTTTGGTGTAGTTCTTTGAAAATCATATTAAAATTTGACGTGTACTATTTCATTAATTTTAACACTAAATTTAGGCTGACTTTTGACAGGTTGGGTAGGATCACCAGTAACAAAAGTATATTAATTTATGCAAAATTAGGTCCGACTGAAGAATAAAAAGTCACAGTACCGTGGCTAGAATAATTCACAAATAACCTGCATGTAGAAGACGGGTCCAAGTTGGACTGAAACACCGTAATAAGTTTGTCTCCCACATGCAGGTTATTTATGTATTGCTAGGTCAGACTGTCAAGCTATAATGCTAAATTTAAAAATTGTAAATATTTATTTACTGGAAAACAAATATGTATTTAAAAAAAAATTACAGTTTGGCCTATTAGACTGATTTGGGTTACTAGACACACATGTAAGTACAAAAACTAGAGAATAATATTCAGTTATGAAAAAATTGACATCCTGAGCAGAAAGCACAACCTAGCGTTTTAATACACATAAAAGCCCCTTTTGGGTTTAGCGGCTTATTTGATTATACAATTATTGTTAATGTACATAATATCAAGTTTACAATGTATAGCACTGAAATGCATGGGAGATACAGGCAACAATAAGTTGATGCTAATTGCTGCACTGAATTCAGTGTAAAACAGGAAGTCCCAACTTACATGCAGCATTCGTGGTTTTTCAATTTACGAGAGTCTGTATAGGAAACAATAGGACGTTATATAATGCAGCTCAGTTGTTGGTTCTTAACCCTTAAACTGTGCACAGGTCTGAGCTTGACAGTCTTGCTTGCTGTGGGTAGCATTTTGAACTAGAAGTATTTTGGTCACTGCAATCTGAGAATGGTATTCCAGGATCCCACCAGCCCAGACCCACCTCTACCTCAATGCATGAAAAATGAATGTTCCTATATTAATGGAGGAGTGCTGAAACCCATTGGGGTCATACAGCACCTGGGGGACTAGAAGGCATTCAGGTTAGATATAAGGAAACAGAAGTCAGATCAAATTCCTTGGATCAAAAGCCCATCACTGCAATACAGAACCTCCTTTAAGGGAACAAAAGTATAGTATACATTATTATTATTATTATTATTATTATTATAATAAAAAAAGAAGCGCTAAACCACAAGAGCTAAAGTATAGTACAAAATAGGTTTCTCCTTCTTTCTTTCAACATACCAGCCATATCCCACCGAGGCAGGGTGGCCCAAAAGAAAAAACTAAAGTTTCTCCTTTTAAATTTAGTAATATATACAGGAGAAGGGGTTACTAGCCCCTTGCTCCCGGCATTTTAGTCGCCTCTTACGACACGCATGGCTTACATAGGAAGAATTCTGTTCCACTTCCCCATGGAGATAAGAGGAAATAAACAAGAACAAGAATTAGAAAGAAAACAGAAGAAAACCCAGAGGGGTGTGTATATATATGCTTGTACACGTATGTGTAGTGTGACCTAAGTGTAAGTAGAAGTAGCAAGACGTACCTGTAATTTTGCATATTTATAAGACAGACAAAAGACACCAGCAATCCTACCATCATGTAAAACAATTACAGGCTTTCGTTTTACACTCACTTGGCAGGACGGTAGTACCTCCCTGGGCGGTTGCTGTCTACCAACCTACTACCTACAAAATAGGTTTTTATTACAATTAAATATCAGCACTGTGTGGGGTAATATTTTGTGAAGGGATTCAGGGAAACCAGTTAGCCGGACTTGAGTCCTGGACGTGGGAGTACAGTGCCTGCATTTTAAAAGAGTGAGATATTTGCTGTTTGAAGTGACATCTAAACTGTCATATCTACACACCTCTGGCAAGATAGTGATATTGTGAATGATAAAATTTTCTTTTTTGGGTCACACTGCCTTGGTGGGAGACTGCAAGTGTGCTAAAAAAATCAGCATTGAAGATTTGAAGCCAATCAGATGAGGCATTCACAAGTTATTGCATGGAGACTATCATATAATGAAGTAACTACCTTTTTTTCAGTGGAGGAAGACATTAAATAGTAAGGGAGGCTGTGGGACTCGTTATACAGTATTTTGTGGTAGACAGATAGTATCTGCATCACTTCTCTCATATAATTTTATACACCTACCATCCGACTTACGACCACTCGACTTACGACCGTGTTTTTTATGCCAAATTTCTGGGAAATAAACAACTATTTGTGTTGTACACAGTGTTTATCCTAAACCTTACAGTATAAAATAGAGTACTAACAACATAAAAAGTAAAGTAAAACATGAAATACCAAAATAAAACAATAAAATAAAGTTATTACAAATTTTTTTTGTTGATATTCAGTAGTAAAGTTCGACTTACGACCATTTCGACTTACGATCGGTTTCTCGGAACCGAACTCGGTCGTAAGTCGGATGGTAGGTGTATTTGTGAAATTCTTCACAGCATTTTTGGTGAAATTCATTAGTTGACTGTAACTTTCATTGCTACTACCTATGTCACTATACACAGGAATCTTCTTAATCTGACTCACATTACCGAGTCTCGGTAACATGGTATCACATGGGGTACTGGTCTTGTGTAGTCCCATAGTTCAATACTCCATCATAATGCACATGGGCCAGGATTCTTTTCTAGGGGATACAAGGTTAAGCACAACCCCAGAAGTTGTTTGAAAGTCTAAAATATCAAGCTGTGGAAATTTAAGTGTATTACTAGGATTTGAAGTGTGAGCAAGGGACCTCTGAACAAGGGATTCAGAAAAACCAGTTAAGAGAAACCGAGTCCTGGAGGTGGGAAGGGCAGTGCCTGCACTCTGAGGCCACTTTATATGATACACCTGCTAGTTAATGTTGCAGCACCTCAATGCCTGAAAGCATGCAGTATTGGTCAACAAGCAGTTGTTAATCAGACTGAACTTCAGAATGGGGAAGAAATGTCATCTAAGTGACTTTGACCATGGAATGACTGTTGGTGTCAGATGGCGCAGATTGAGTATCTCAGCAACTGCTGATCTCATGGGATTTTCACACACACATGGTGTAAAAGAATACAAAACATTCAATGAGCAGCAGTTCTGTGGGTGAAAATGCCTTGTTAATGAGAGAGAGGTCAGAGGAGAATGGCTAGACTGGTTCAAGTTGACAGGCAGGTAACAGTACAAAACTAACTATGCATTATAACAGTGCTTTGCAGAAGACAGATGCTCTTCTGCAATGCACAACACATCGAATCTTGAAGTGGATTGGGTACAGCAGCAGACCACACCGCGTTTTCCATTCCTGTCAGCTAAGAACAGGAAACTGAGGCTACAAAGGGCACAAGCTCACCAAAACGGGAGGGCTGAAGATTAGAAAAACATTGCTTGGTCTGACAAATCATGATTTTTGCTGTAACATACAGATGGTAGGGTCAGAATTTGGCATAAAGTGGTAAGGGAGATTCGCAGCATGAGTGTGAAGCCAACAAATCTGCAGCCACTGCGTGAGGCTATCATGCCAACATGGATCAGGATCTCTTAAGAATGTTTCCAGTACCTTGAATCCATGCCAATAGGAATTCAGGCTGTTCTGGGGGCAATGAGGGAAGGGATGCCCTGCCCATTATAAGAAGGGTGTACCTAATACAGTAGCCACTGAGTGTATACGAGGCACTGCACAGCAGAGAAGCAGCACCACCAAATTCAAAGAATGAAGAAAAACAGAAATGTAGGGGAGACTGGAACTACAAAGCTCAAGTTACCATACTTTGTTATGAAGCCCTGAGCCTAACTTACAGATACAAAAAGACACTATCTACACATTCCCACAAACAGACAAAACATTAAGGAATCTATTCAGTCACTAATCTGGATTTTGGCCATCATGGCACTTATTCTTTTCTGCCATGCAATGCCTCTCATATTATGTATTAAGTTATGCCCAGTTTAAAGGTTTAATGCCTCATTTTTAAGTTCTAATGTGTAACTAAGGATTTTTACAAGTTGGAGACCTCTTGTATTACATGTAGTCAGCATATGCACCAACACACACAGCCAGGAATGAAGTATGGCTGATGGACAGATTAACAGATTCCAATAAACCAGTTACTAAGCTCACAGAACACAAGTACACGGTATTCTGCTTTGAGCTCGCTTAAATATTGTCCAACATATAACAAAATACATATACATGTACTCTGACTGTATAAAGTTTCTTGTAGTTATGATAATAACCTACATGCATCTTCTGTACAGTATGCCAGCTGATGTCATGAATAATCATCTTCATAAAAATCTCCAGACAAAAATTACACAACATAAAAGACTTGATCCAACAAATTTTAGAAAAACTACACAAATTCTGCAAATTACAATGACTACTTATATCACTGTAATTTAGAGTATATACAAAGTTAGTACAAATAACAGTCTATCAATAATTGCAGTTATCATAAATCTTTGTACATATTGTATATAGCTATCAAAACACATAAATAGAGATTAGCTTGTAATAGCCTATAATTATATGAAAATTATAATAAACATTAAAAATAAACAGTGGATAGTTACAGCATAAAGTACAAATATTTACAATAATCATAAAGGGTTGTTTAGTACAGTAATGCATTAATTATATACACACGTAGTACATACAAGAGACGGCCGGCTTGTTGGGGAGAGAAACAAAAATATAAATGGTGTCTTTAAATGAGAATTCTGCCTTTACATTAGATAGTACAATATTTTATAATGATCATTAATGATAAAATGAACTGATAACAAAAAAAAATCAACTTTGATAAAACAGAATGCCAAAACTAGTATGAATAAATTGCAAACTAACAACATGTTAAACCCTAGGTGCTGCATTGAGAAAATGAGCAGGCCAGGAAAAACGTGGATATAGAGTTTCCTATGAGTGGAGGGATTTTGACATAAGGATGAATTATGGAACTGAAGAGAAAAACCCTGTGGAGCAAGTTTCTGATCAGCTTAATGGTTGCAATAAGAGTAACCAGCATCAAGGCAAATATAAAATTAACTATCAGAAAATTCCAAAAGTATTAGTCTGGACATTCTATGTATTAGGATAATCATTTCTGAAGAGCGACTCCAGATAATCCTTTTTCCCCATAGAACAGTTAATGTACAACATCACCAGTAACTGCAGAGAAGCTAAATGTATCACTGCAGAGCAGCTAAAGTTTTAAGTATTGCTATGGCCATATGAAGATTGGTTTAGGTCAGATTTACAGAGGATGGACAGATTTTGGTAACCACCTAGAAAACCACACATTAATAGGGTACATATCTGTTCATTAGAAAAAATATATAATTAAGCTTTAATTGTAAAAAAAAAAAAAACTAACTTTAAGAATAACACGTACTATAGTATGTGGAATTAAGAATTTAAAAATGTTTGGTGTTGGTAAGCATATGCTCACAGGCATGTGCACCAAGAAATTAGTGAAGAAATAATGTAGTACAGTGTTGGGAGTTCTGTAGCTTTTACAGGCACTGAAATCTTGGACATAAAAGCTGATGTTGATTTGTTTCAAAGCAATGTAGAAACCATCACCCAAATAAAGAAAAGTGAATTACTTTATTAGGGGTATGTTATGTTAATGGTCCTAGGTATCATTGCCTCTAGTCTGGTTTTAGACCAGGCCTCATGAATTGTAGAGGAAACATTATAGGAACAACAACTATTAAGGAACACAGAAGAGCAAAACTCTGAGTACCATACACTGAATTTAAGTAGCAATTAGTAAGATTTACTACAGCCTTACAGTATATTCATGACAGAAAGAAAAGAGTAAAATGTCAGTTGACATTGAAAGTGCCTGATTTAAAAAATATTCAGAATCTTTGGAAAATAACAGTGAAAGGCCTTATGTATACTACATGGCCATAATTGATGTTTTAATGTTTCACAGATTCTTTGGAAAATGAAGCAGAGGCTTCATTACATATAATGCATGACAAAATTTCAGAGAATGTACTTGAATTTATAGGTGCCATAAACATATTGATAAATATTAAGTACAGTATTCCTAAGCTAAACTTTACATTATACAGATTAACTGTATTGTCTAGGAGAAATTATTAATTACATAAAATTTACAGAAAATTAAAAAAGATTGCATTGCAGTGTTGTATGCATCTACTGAGCAAAATATTATTTCAAAAGATGTCCAAAGACACACTGGAAGCTGCCTCACACTTTATGACAGTTTACCTGCAAAAGCACTGTAAACCTTATCCAGCAAATTTCTTTACAGCATAAAATTCAGAATAAAAACTTACGAAAATATAAAAATGCTCAAGTTTAGTCTCCACAGCATATAATAGAAAATGGTGCTAGATATATTGTTAAAGTACAGTATTACGAGCATTTTGACATCTCATACTGGTAAAACAGATATATAAAAGAGGGTTAGAATTTTGAAAAGGTTAAAGTGGTCAATCTATTTTAACTTTATTTTGTGATTTGGACTGCCTAACCCCTTAATCAATCATTAAATAATAAACTGATTATCTAGCTGTTACATATTAAATATTTAAAAGGGGGCAAGCACTCTCAACTCCTTTGAGAAAGTATTGATAATAAATTTATAAAATTGTACTACTGTTCGGAAATGTTTGTAGCTATGCAGATTGTTGTGAACTGTTTAGGCAATGATGATACTCTATTAGGAGTCTGAATGTAAACAGTGTATCACTTACAACAGTGAAAAATGGGCTTTTGTTTCGACAACTTTTCATTTCTTCTGCACAATGTGCCTTTTCTTCAGTGTAGTATTAGGAATTTTCTTTCAGTTAATTATGTATATAATATATATACATGTACATCATTCACACAATTACACACAAATGGCAGTCTGTTATACATATGAAAATGTATTTATAAGTTTTTTTATCAAATCAGCCTTTATCACAATAAAAGAATCTACTTTAATCTCTATGAAATTTAATAGTGCACTACATTCCAAAAATTTTTTTTTAAAAGATACTTATTGCCTATAAAAACTATGTAAAGCAACAGCCAAAAATAAATTAACAGAGAGACAATTTACTAGTAAATATATTGTTAGTCCAATAAAAGATAGTGGTAAGAACATACAAAAGTCTCATTTCCATCTTAACCCCTCAACGATAAACATGTTTAAAAAAAAAATATTAAAATTACTTTCCCAAAAAATTCTTACACAGTAGCTTCAGGATCACTCATTAATGATAGATTTGGCAATTTTTTGGCGAGGAACCTTGGACCTGTGAGTTTGATTGCTGCGGCTCCCAAAGGTGCAGTCACTAGTATCACCATGACAGCTATAGTAACAATCTGTAAAATATAACTACTGAACAACACTTTCTGTATACAGTACTATCCTTACTCTAGTCAAGTTTCATCTATAAGAGAGCAATAACAAGAGCTACATTCATATTGTGGGCTCGGAGGATGCAAACCTTTAACTGGATCCTAACTGTCACTCTTGTAAATGTGGTTGTGTAATTTAGGGAGTTTAAGCTGAAGCCCATCTGTACATTAAAAACCTTTTTATACTATGTTTATTTGGAAACAAAAATATTTCAAGGCAGTTGTAAACATTTTTATTTACCTTCTCGCCTCGTATTATATCTTCATCCTCGCCATTATGAAGTCGTACATAATCTAGAGCTTGAGATCCAATGGCAGCCTAAAAATAGCAAAGTGAAAAAACTTATTTTGTATCCTTAACTAGACAGCAGCAAAAGAAAAACTATAAACAATGAATGCTATGACTGGAAACTTTTGAAGTATAAGAGGATCTCAGTTGGACATTAAAATATATAGCTACTTACATTTCATGTTTGTCTCACAGAATTTCACACATTATTATTTTTTATTATTATCACACCGGCCGATTCCCACCAAGGCAGGGTGGCCCGAAAAAGAAAAACTTTCACCATCATTCACTCCATCACTGTTTGCCAGAAGGGTGCTTTACACTACAGTTTTTAAACTGCAACATTAACACCCCTCCTTCAGAGTGCAGGCACTGTACTTCCCATCTCCAGGACTCAAGTCCGGCCTGCCGGTTTCCCTGAACCCCTTCATAAATGTTACTTTGCTCACACTCCAACAGCACGTCAAGTATTAAAAACCATTTGTCTCCATTCACTCCTATCAAACACGCTCACGCATGCCTGCTGGAAGTCCAAGCCCCTCGCACACAAAACCTCCTTTACCCCCTCCCTCCAACCTTTCCTAGGCGACCCCTACCCCGCCTTCCTTCCACTACAGACTGATACACTCTTGAAGTCACTCTGTTTCGCTCCATTCTCTCTACATGTCCGAACCACCTCAACAACCCTTCCTCAGCCCTCTGGACAACAGTTTTGGTAATCCCGCACCTCCTCCTAACTTCCAAACTACGAATTCTCTGCATTATATTCACACCACACATTGCCCTCAGACATGACAACTCCACTGCCTCCAGCCTTCTCCTCGCTGCAACACTCATCACCCATGCACCATCCATCACACATACAATGAATATTATGTTAAGGAATATGCAACAAAAAGTGTCGAGAGAAAGTTTACAAGAAAAAACTAAGGCAATTGCTATAATCCTGCCAGACACAATGTTTGTTTTTCAATATGTCAGTTATCTCTCACTAATGCAGGGTGACCCAAAAAAAGAAAGAAACACTTTCACCATCATCTTTGCAGAGGCACCCATTGAAATTTGGTAGTCTTTATCCATAGACAAAAGCTGTAATCGGAGATTTTATTTAGATGATGTTTTCCCTGTGCAGCAGATTTTCTAAGTCTGATCAAACCTGAAAAAAAACTGCTAAACAAGAGAAATATTAACTAAATAAAGCTTTTAACTGCTGCTTGTGTGTCTTTATCAACTAAAATTTGCTGACATTCCCATACCATCTAATTTTTTTTTTTTAACATGCTGGCTGCCTCCCACCGAGGAAGGGTGACCTGAAAAGGAAACACTTTCACCATCATTCACACTACCACTGTGTTGCCAGAAGCACACAGATACAACAGTTATTCAGATTACTAACCACAAAGGGTTAATAACTCAACAAAGCCAAGCAGTGTGATTAAGATTTGTTTGGGATCCTAAATTTATTGATACATTCTTTGAAATGGTTTCAGGCCACACCAGTGGAAGATCATTCTTGCATAAACTGCAACTGCATATCACACTGAGTAAAACCCATTATTCATGGTATTACTTAATTACTTCTCAGCCGAGTTATGCTTTACAACATCTCTGACATTTCTAAGTACTGAATTGTGACTAGACCGCAGCAATCACTACTCTCGTGAAGAACTGGTAGCATAAACGAATCAGACTACTTGAGAGTATTTGTTTATGAAGATGATGATTGTATTGTCCAGGAGAGGTCAAGGCATTTTACCATACAAACAGAAATTCGGAATTTGAGAGATTAATCCCAATACCTTAATATCTAAATTTTCTAGAATTCAGAATATAATAACTTTGAATATGAGCCATATTATAAACAACCTTTCCAATACACCTACCTGAACAGTAGCCTTGGGAAGCCATGCAATGGCAATGAACAAACGCTCCCATATGGTGAAAGCAGCTCCCATCACTACAACAAATGAGGTAAGAATTCTGAAGGAAAGGCTGATTACAACAGCCAATAGACCCCAGCCAATAGTATCAGGGTCTATTGCTGCAACCTGCGGGAAAGACAAGCATTCTAAGTGCAATATGCCAATAATTAAAACTTTTTTTTTTCTCAACAAGTCAGCCGTCACCCACCGAGGCAAGGTGACCCAAAAAGAAAGAAAATCCCCAAAAAGAAAATACTTTCATCATCATTCAGCACTTTCACCTCACCCATACATAATCACTGTAAAAAACTCCAGATCGATGCATTTGACACTTACAGTTAAATAAAATAACATGAAATATTGAGATTTTGGGCAATTTTTTCCTTAAAATGCAGTTTAAAGAATGAATCTGATCAAAAATGATGATAATTTATGTTTTTACAAAATAAAAAATTACAACACTCTTCACAGTTGCAAAATTTATATCATTGAATACATGCCATTACTAATGAACTAGCAAAACGAAGATGAAGCATCAGCAAACATTACAAGCTCCCCGCAATACACCCATTAAATACACTATTGCTTAATTACTGTATATGATACATTTTTTGTGCATATATTTAAACTGTAGCAGCTAAGCAAAGGAATGCTAACTTTTAATTCTAGGAATTTCATTTACAAAATACAGTACCAGAACCTAAACGTATCAAATATTTTAAGGTATCTTACATCAATTTCCGTTCCAATTAAAGCAAAGAGCATTGGCTGGAAGATCTTCCACACAAACCGGTAGTAAACACCTACATCAGGGTCCTGTAGAATGAGGAAAACATGAATATTTTCATAATTTTATATATAATAAACATTCACTAGAAGTTAATGAAATGCTACAATTGTCAATGAAATGACTAAAATTACTGGGTTATAAATCTGGAAGGGAAAGGAGAAGGGGTAGGGGTCATTGCAGGAATGGATGGAGGTTGAAAGTTTTATATGGCAGGAGCTTGAAAATACAGAAAGCATATGCTTAGACTGGAGGAAATACACTAAAAGTGATTTTTAGTATTTGACATCTTATGGGAGTATAAATAAGGTAACATTTATGAAGGGATTCAGGGAAACTTATTAGATACACTTGAGTACTGGAAGTGGGAAATCCTGTGCCTGCACTCTGCAGGACGGTCATCTGAATTGTAATGTCTGTGTACTTCTGACAAGACAGCTTTTTTTTTTTTTTTACAGAATTGAATTTACAGGCTATTAGCCATTATTCTACCTAAGCTCAAAGGAGAGAGAAGCTTCTCTCTCCTATGTGTGGGTTATTTGATTATTATACCTATCTCAGCTCATTTCAAAGCACAGCCCTATCGAATCAAATCGAATCGAAGATGACGAGAGCTGTCGTGAGATGAGAAGGAAGAAGGATAAGGAAGGATGGAAATAACTGGAAAAGGATGGGAAGGAGGGGAAGAGGAGGAATCGAGGCAAGTGGCCCAACCACTTTGGGACATGTGGTACCGAATTACTGAAGGCGCAGATGGAGAGGCTTGAATGATGTCGTTACTTGGCTCACTAGGAGAGGATGGCGAAGGCAGTGGCAGGAGCTGAGAGTGTCAGAAGGCAGCAAGCAGGATGAGTTGGTTATTCTCTTGATCCGCTTTTCATTGCATTGAATTTTGTTCTAGAGAGTTGTATCACAAGTATGGGAGAGCTGTAGAAAAGTTCATTGGTTTGGAGTTGGTGGATTATCTGGTTGATGGTAGGGAATGGCTTTTCGTCGCTGCTGTACTTTGCAGTGTTGTTTTGGAGATGTTGGATGAGTTCTAGGCGAGTCATTGATCTGGGGTATTGCGTCACGGTGAAGAACGAGAGTCCTTTGTGTTTAATGCTTAGTGATCCAGGTAGTGGACGTGAGGGAGGTGGAGAAGGCGGTGGTGGAGTTGAGGAAGGTGGTGTTGATGGCAGAGGTAGGGTAGGATCTTGGTTGGTCATGGTGTGACAAGCCAATCGACGAATAGCAGGCGTGGTGCTGTCTTGGATGTTGTCAGGTGAATGCTGACTGGAGGATTCAGAAGAGGATGCATCGTCGTTATCAATTATTAATTCCGTCATGTCATCTGGCGCTTCAAAACTGACGATCTTCGGGATTATTTTCAAAATCTCAGCTGATGGTGGACTTGCAGGGAAGTTAAATGATGGCATGTTAAGTGCAAGAAGTTCATTAATAGTCGTGTTGAAAGAGCCAGGTTTTGCAGCATTTTGCATGTGAGCAAACATCATGCAGTAATAGAATTTGGTAGAGATATCATCAGGTGGAGGTTTGGTAGTGAGAGGTGGTGGAGACAACTGTTGAGTGGCTTGTATAATCTTGGATGTTGTTGATTGAATCTTTACATTTGCAGCATATGAAGGAGAGGTTCCAGATGACTTCTTAGTTTCTTCCTTCAGTTTCTTAGAGAGGATATCCTTACACACTGGACATTTGGCTGCAAGAGTATGGTGGTCACTCTTACAGTTGATGCAAGTGGGAGCAGCAGTGGAAGTGCAAGAATGAAAATCATGACCTGCAGACCCACAGGTGGAACATATCTTGTTCTTCACGTGGCAGTCGGCAGTAGAGTGACTGTACGAGTAGCATGTCCAATATGGTGTTATGTAAGTGAAGCGTTCAGGCTCAATCTGACAAGGGTTGATGTAGTAGTAAGAGATGGCCAGGCCATCAGAGTGCTCTGGTCGCCATGGTAACGTCTAGAAACGTGACCTTGAGCATCGAGGAAGCGTTGGGGATCTTCACAACAGAGTCAATCTTGGCCCAAGTGTTGAGGTCTTCAACTAACACCCAGGTACAAACTTACTGCTAAGTGAACACAGGCAACAGGTGTAAGGAAACACGTCCAACATTTCCACCTGTACCTGGGCTCAGTTTGTGAGCTGAGGGTGCTACCAACCGAGCCACGGGACTACTGAATGAATGATGATGAATGTGTTTCCCTTTGTTGAGTCACCCTATCTCGGTGGATGGATGATGGTAAGTGAGATTAACAAAAAAAAAAAAAAAAAAAAAAAAAAAAAAAAAGATAAAAGATAAGTGCACTTCTGTTTCAGAAAGAGATCAATAGTACATTTATCTGTATGTCATCTGAAACCAGCACAGTGTAAAAAAAAAAAAAAAAAAAAAAAAAAAAAATTAGACCTGTAACTGAGACCTTTCTCCATGTGGGTATTAGATCACATTGACTATATGTTTATGCACTCCTGTTATTATAACTATCTAGATGTTTAATTCCTTGTTCCTTGACATTGTTCCTTTTCACATGTAAAAATTGTACTGAAAAGTTTGTGTGCATATTCATAAAAAAAAAAAAAAAAAAAAAAAAAAAAAAAAAAAAAAAAAAAAAAAAGTTGAGTATTTGTATACATACTCTGTGGCACTCGACGTATGCTCAAGGCATATTCTTTGAAGGAAAAGAAGGAGAAGATGTAAACTAGAAAGAGAAAGGCACTCCCTATACAGGCGAAGGCAAAGAATAACAGAGCAGCTTAACCCTTAAACTGTCCAAACGTAGACCTACGTATTTTCAACATTTGAAAGTATGTAAAAAAGCGTAGATCTTCTTTTTGTTTTTTTTTACATTTGAAAACGTGTAAAAAACTTTGATCTAGGTTTTTTTTGTTATATTTGAAAATATGTAAATAAACATAGATCTACTTTTGGAGCACTACGCATTTGAACATATATCTGTTTGGACAGTTTAAGGGTTAGAGACAATATACTATCTGTAATACATAGGGAGACACTGGTCAGAGAAACAGCAAACGTGTAACTAAAGTTAAAGGAATCTTACAGGAGCCAAGAAATGCAGGAAGAACTAAAAGCCATAAATGAAAATGAAAGAAACCCAAAATATTTCTTTTCTTTGCCATATCATTCGGAGTGTGGAAATTAGGAAAAGGTGTGGAGTTAATAAAAGCATTAGTCAGAGGGCAGAAGAGGGGTTGTTGAGGTGGTTTGGTCATTTAGAGAGAATGGATCAAAGTAGAATGATATGGAAAGCATATAAATCTATAGGGGAAGGAAGGCGAAGTAGGGGTCGTCCTCGAAAGGGTTGGAGAGAGGGGGTAAAGGAGGTTTTGTGGGCAAGGGGCTTGGACTTCCAGCAAGCGTGCGTGAGCGTGTTAGATAGGAGTGAATGGAGACGAATAGTACTTGGGACCTGACGATCTGTTGGAGTGTGAGCAGGGTAATATTTAGTGAAGGGATTCAGGGAAACCGGTTATTTTCATATAGTCGGACTTGAGTCCTGGAAATGGGAAGTACAATGCCTGCACTTTAAAGGAGGAGTTTGGGATATTGGCAGTTTGGAGGGATATGTTGTGTATCTTTATACGTATATGCTTCTAAACTTGTATTCTGAGCACCTCTGCAAAAACAGTGATTATGTGTGAGTGTGGTGAAAGTGCTGAATGATGATGAAAGCATTTTCTTTTTGGGGATTTTCTTTCTTTTTTGGGTCACCCTGCCTCGGTGGGAGATGGCCGACTTGTTGAAAAAAAAAAAAAATCAAAGTTGAGAACAACATCCAGCATTGGGCCTCTACTTAAACAAGATGAGTCCTACACAGATGACAGCAAGGAAATGAGTGAGCTACTTAAGTCCCAATATGGCTCAGTTTTTAGCAAGCTGCTAACTAGACTGAGAGTTGAAGACCTAAATGAATTTTTTATGAGAGAGACAGAATTTGAAAAGACAATAAATGAATGCCCATGCACTCTGCCCCAGGCCCAGACTCATGGAACTCTGTGTTCATCAAGAACTGCAAGAAGCCCCTATCATGTGCTTTTAACATCCTATGGAGAGGGAGCATGGACACAGGGGCCATCCCACAGCTGCTAAAAACAACAGACATAGCCCCACTCCACAAAGGGAGCAGTTAAGTAATAGCAAAGAACTATAGACTGATAGCACTAACGTCTTATTTAAAAATCTTTGAAAGGGTTCTCAGAAGCAAGACTGCCACCCATCGAGATACCCATCAGTTACACAACCCAGGGCAACATGGGTTTAGAGCAGGTCACTCCTGTCTGTCTTAACTACTGGACCACTATGACAAGGTCCTGGAAGCTCAAGAAGGCAAACAGAATGCAGATGTAATATATGCACTTTGCAAAAGCCTTTGACAAGTGTCACTATGGAGTAATAGCACACAAAATGCATGATAAAGGAATAACAGGAAAAGTTGGTAGATGGATCTATAATTTTCTAACAAATAGAACACAAAGAGTAGTAGTAAACAGAGTAAAGTAGTAAACAGAGTAAAGGTGGCTACGGTGAAAAGCTCTGTTCCACAAGGCACAGTACTTGCTCCCATCCTGTTCCTCATCCTCATATCTGACATAAACAGGGATATAAGCCACAGCACCGTGTCTTCCTTTGCAGATGACACCCGAATTTGCATGACAGTGTTCTCCATTGAAGACACCGCCAGACTCCAGGCGGACATCAACCAAATCTGCAAATGGGCTGCAGAAAACAATATGAAGTTCAATGATGAGAAATTTCAATTACTCCGATATGGAAAACGTGAGGACATAAAAAATATATCGGAGTATAAAACAAATTCCAACCACACAATAGAGCAAAAAACTAATGTAAAAGACCTGGGAGTGATATATCAGAGGATCTCACCTTCAAAGACCAAACATTGTATCAATACTGGCTAGCAAACATGACAGGGTGGATTAATGGGGAGCCTTCTAAAACTAGGGATTTCCAAACCATGATCGACACTTCTTAAGGAACATAAGAACTAAGA